ACACACACACACACACACACCCATACACACACACAGACACACACACACACACACACACACACACACACACACGCATACACACACACAGCATTTTCTCCATGCAATTCAAGTCAATCAACTGGAATCTAAACAAGTATTTGAATTGTTAAAGTCAAGTCATTATGAATTGTAAAACAATGCATCCCGTAAATAATCAAGATATCATCATGAATTTGAAATAGAATTGTTTTCGCAGCGCTTTTTAGTGGTTTGTGCACTTTTCTTTCTATGATACACAGCTTGCACACACACACACACACACACACACACACACATATATATAACACAATATAATAATCTGTTATAAAATAGCCTTTTATAAAATATACATAGCCTATCTTTGATAAAACACAGCATAATTATAACAATAATAAACAATAGAATCGTTGTTGTTTATATGGCCATTCATATTATTTTTCACAATAGTGCACACCGCTGCATAAACGCAGCTTCACAGATCTGATTACTGTGTGTGAGACAGAAAAATGTAGGCTATAAATTATTATTTTGTTCTCAGTGAATGCAGCCTATTAAATACATCATGTTTAGAAACGTTTAGAGCCTTTTTCTCGTGCATTAAATGTAGTCCCTGATAACGACGAGCCTTTCAGTTCCCAAATATGAATCCAACACGAATCCTTCTGAACCTGACAACCAGCATAAAGATATTATTACACCGTAGACGCGTAACTTTAGCTGTCTCAGAAGACTGCTCCTACCCGATTTAGTCGAGAAGAATGAGTTTAGCTGCTAACCCTTTGATCCAGTGAAGTTTAGACTTATTATTCTTATTCTGATCATCATAGAGTTAAGTAGCGCGCGAGGGTTGGTGAGGGCACCTTGCGGGAACAGCAGGCGCATCTTCAGGTAGCTGCTGGTCAGTCGGATGACGGACGCTTTGTCCAGCTGAGAGGTGATGGCCGACGGTAACGGCAGCATTCTGGCGAGCTCGTGAAACTCTCTCTTCTCCTTCTCCCGCCGCGTCCTCGCCGCTGTCTTGGACTTCTCCTTCATCGCTCCGTGAGTGCTTCAGACGCCCGGTGACCGCAGCGCGAGCGCATCTGACCCGCGCAGGCCGCTGCCAGTCACAGCACACTTCACCAACTCTAAAGAATTAACCAGCACTCTCAATTCATTTATACACAGTGTCACTGGGCCAAAGCTAACACATATTTACTTTAGCTGCCCTACAATCCTGTTATAGCTAACAATTAAAAATGATAGTATTTATTTTCATTTAGCCTATTTATTTATTTTTATTATCACTCTACATCGAAACTCACGAAAACATATTAACATTAAATTATACTCACCACCTTTTGTTCAGGATCAGTAGTTCCACACTATACGCAGACCGGTCATTCTCTATTCTATTCTATTCAATTCCATTCAATTCGATTCAAATAAATTCAATTCACTTCTATTCTATTTTATTATATTCAATTCTATTACATTTAATGCAATTCTATTTCATTCGATTAAAATAAATGCTATTCTATTCTATATTATTCTATTCCATGTCATTCAATTTAATTCTATTCTATTTTATTACATTAAATTCTATATTCCATTCAATTCTGTCCTACGGGGTGGAATCACACGTGAGCACATCACCAGGTACCGGGTGTGAGTGGCTGAAACGGTCCCGTGCCGTCCGGTCTTACCGTCTCTCACGCGCTCATTGGTCAGAGAGTCTCGCGGAAACCGGGGCTCACTGGGAGGTGTGTGTGTGTGTGTATGAGTGTGTGTGTGTGCGTTTTTGTGACAAATGAGGACATAAATGTGTATAATGACAAAGGTATGACAGGTATTACAAGGAGAAGGTGACTTTTCAGGACATTACCCCATGTCCCCACTTTTCAAAACGCTTATAAATCACACAGAATGGAGTGTATTGAAAATCTGAAATAGCAGAAAGTCTCCTGTGAGGGGTAGGTTTAGGGGTAGGGTTGGTGTAGGGCAATAGAATATACGGTCTGTACAGTAGAAAAACCATTACGCCTATGGAGAGTCCCCACTTTTCACAAATCTAAACCTGTGTGTGTGTGTGTCTGTGTGTGTGTGTGTGTGAGAGCGAGAGAGAGCGTGTGTGTGTGTGCGAGTGAGTGTGTGTGTGTGTGTGTGTGTGTGTGTGGGGGTGT